TGCAASTTTCAAAGGAGTACAGACTCACTAGTTTGTTGTGTAAGGTTTGGTCTTCATCTTTGTCTGACTTTTATTTGAGTTGTATTCTTGCAGATGGAATAAGTCCTTCCCTGTTCAATGCAAGGGCTAAAGCTTTTTACCAATATTTGTCAGAGAGACCTTTAAGCTCTTTTTATTTGCCCTGATATGTGGTCTCGGGGAGGTTGTGCTAAACCTCAGGTGGTTGTTTTAGTCTAGAGAAGCTATTTTTTTTTCCCCATGAATACGCCTCACTTCTGTAACCCCATCTCTACCTAAACAATGTACTATTATTGGTAGTCCTTTTTTTTTTGCCCCCAGGTTCTTTTATTTATTTATTAAATTCATTTTTCATTGATGTATTATAATTATACATAAGAGTTGGATTCATTTTATCACATGTGTACATGCACATAGCATTATTTGTTCAATCTCCTTCCCTGGATGTGTGCATATACACACACACACACACATATAAATACACACTCATATATATAATCCCCATTTTGTGTGTGTGTGTGTGTATATATACACACATATACATATATATATATATGTGTGTGTGTGAATGTGTATATATATATAATCCCCATTGTATATACAAGTTGCATTCATTGTGGTATGTTTGTACATAGATATAGCATAATTTGGTAGATTTCATCCCTGAATAGATAGGCTAATTTTTCTGAGATGAACTAAGGAAAAAGGCATTGGGTTTTAAAATTTAAGTGTTCTGGGCATGGTGGCACATGTAATCCCAGTGACTCGGGAGGTTGAGGCAGGAAGATCATTGGTTTGAGGCCAGCCTAGACAACTTAGTGAGACCCTAAGAAATTTAATAACACTCTGTCTCAAAAAGCTAAAAGGGTAAAAGGGTTGGGGGTGTAGCTCAGTAGTAAATCATCCCAGCATTCAATCCCAGTAACATCCCATCATTCAATCCCCCCCCAAAGTATTAAGGGTATTAATTGGTGTTTATCAGGAAAAATTAATTTCTCATATTTTATGTCWAGAGGCAGTAGTACAGTAAAGTAACGGGCCTAATTCTGGGGCTTAAGCCAGAGTTCTTTCCCTTGGAGTCTGCATTTTAAAGAGGCTCTCAGGTCCTGTAGGAGATGTCTAAAGTGCCTGCTCTGGGTGTGTCAGGGGCATGTTTGCCAGTTACCAAGTTTTGTGTGGAACAAACAGTGAATTCTCAGGGTACTGTTGAGCTTTTACAAGCAGACATTTTTAAGGGCAGTCGAAATTACCCGCCCTGAGAGCCTGCAGGTCTTATAGCCAGGCTCAGGGCTAGTTGATGTGAGGTCTCAGGGTGGCTGACTGAGCAGGTGGAGGCATAGGACAGCTACTATTTGAGCTTTTCTTCTCCCTTAGGGCAGGACAGTTCCTTTTTGTCCAGACTTTTTACAGTATCTGCAAGTATTGTGAGATGAACAGCAGAGGTTTGAGATTGGTAAGAAAGATGGGTGGCTCAGGGTTACTCCTAGAGCCATATTTCTGTTTTTATAGTCAGTAAGGCAAGGACAGTTGTTTTTTTTTAATATTTATTTTTTTTTAGTTGTAATTGGACATAATACCTTTATTTTATTTATTTTTACATGGTACTGAGGATCGAACCCAGGGCCTCACATGTGCTAGGCAAGCATTCTACCACTGAGCGACAACCCCAGCCAGGACAGTTGTTTTTAATTCTTCAAAGAATTGTGTGGTGGCCTCAATAATAACATTGAGGGGATGGCCTGCTCATCCAACTAAATTATTTTGAATTTGTTTCTTTATATCAGAGAAAAAATTTTCCACTGATATAGAAATGAAGATTTCTATATTCTGGGGCTTTGGGAGCTCTGTGTTTTGGGAATGTTTTTATAAATTGTTTAACAAAGTCTTTATGATGTGTTGCTGCCCTCTGAGCAGTTTTACTGTAGTTCAGTTAACCTTCTAGGGAAGGCTTCTAGAACAGTTTCTATCAGAACTTGAACATCAGTCTTCAGCTGGATCATTTGTAGGGAAGGAGTGCAGGGAAGTTTGTGGTGGGTGTGGATCTTAATTTTAGCTCTAAATTTGATTTTTCTTCTTTAATTTTGTTGAGGGAGTCTTTTTGACTAGCCATGGTGCTTTTTTGTTTTRTTCTTTCCATTTGATCCTTTTATATGGGCAAAAGGACATTTGTTTAGTAAGTGCTCTCTAAAAATACTTTTATTTATTTTCTTTGTCTAAAGTGGTGTGTTTGCCCCCAGTGTTGGGCATTGAACCCAGGGCTTTGTGTATACTAGGCAAGTAATGTAGAGCTCCCCTGAGCTATGGCCCCAGCCCCTGAAGTTGGATCTTTTATTCCTCACTTGGGGAATTCCAAGTTACTGCTCTCTTCCCCCATTGATCTCAAGGTAACAAAAGAATTGGTGATGTCTGAAATATTTTACCTCTTTTTTATTTATTTTTATTAATTTTTGTAATTTGTTTTAATTASTTATACATGACAGTAGAATGCATTTATGCACTTTGATATAACAATCATAGATGGGATATAATTTCTAATTTTTCTGAGTATACATGTTATAGAAATGCTGTTACAGRCTACAGTTACCAAATACAAATTATCAAACCTTCTATTGGTCCCACAATTTCCTGTCTGCTAGGTAGCTTGCTTGCTAGRTAGCTGGCTGCTGTGGTCTTTGTGGAGGAGGACTAGTCCTGTGCAGGTGTAGAGGTCATCTCACTTTCAGCTTATTCTCAGGAATGTCCTTTCAGCCACATAGGTCCTCATGTTGCCAGGCACCTCTTCTGGTTGCTTAGTGTCACTGCTAGCTATACAGTGTTGGTATATAGTCTATCACCCCAGTCCTACTAACCAGGCTGGTGCATATTGCCATAGGATCCTCTGGTTATAGTTCCTGATATCATTTCTTTAAAAACAAAACAAAACAACTGCTCTTCCAGAGACATCTGACTTAAAAAATTGGGTCCCCAACTGTTCAGTACTTCTCAATAATAAAGTTGTTAACTGGTGTTCTTTCCATCTTTATAGGAGTCGGGTGCTCTCCTTATTCAGCCTCTCTTGCCCAGAGAGCCTCTCTTCCACTGTGAATTACAGACCATCTAGTACTTGGTCCTGTTGTTGACATCCCACTGAGCCACAAAAACGAGATTGATTATGTAGGCCTTGTTACAGAGTTGGACACAAATATCTCTGGTGTTGTTAGCATTATATTACAGCTGATGGGACCATTTGTGTAGATTTCTGTTGTGGTGTTCTTCCCAGAGAGGGATCCGCAGTCACTCACTTTTCAGAAGGCACAGGCTCTGAATGGCATGGAACTCTCATTTTAGTGCATATCCCAACTGGCTAACCATGTCTAATTGCTGGCCCTTGGCCTAGTAATTCTTGCAGGTGTCATTGGGAATGCCTTACTGGTGGACATACTCCCAAACCAGTAGCCTGTGAACTCCCTTACATGCTGTTGCTCCAGAACAAGGTGGAGGGTCCTGTGCCCTTCCTCTTGATGTTGGTCAGATCTGCCCTGGCACTGGTGCTGGTATGTTCCAACAGGAGCTTCAGTACTGGGGGATGTTCCTGGTGACACTATCATAGTTGACATCATCCACACTGTGCCAATCAAACTCCTGGTGACACTGTCATAGTTGACATCATCCACACTGTGCCAATCAAACTCTAGGGCAAATCCATTAGGGACAAGCACTCATGAATCCAGGGGTACATCCTGTACCCCAGTGGCACAGCTGATTCCCCCACAGGGGCCAGTAGCGGTCTGGCCTGGAGGTGGCAGAGGCAAGACTGCAGTGCCTGATGCCTGCAGCAGCAGCAGCAGCAGCAGCAGCAGCAGCCATAGCTGCACCTGCCTGGATGATGCCTTCCTGCTGGCTCCTGCCCTAGATCCTAAATATTGTGCTGGCTTCCCATCCCTGTGCTGGCCTCGGGCCAGCAAGCACCAAGCCAGCCCTCATGCTCCCATGTCCTGACCTTACCCCTTAAAAATCTTTTTGATCGTGACAGTTTTTCCAAATAAAATGATCTATAATCTGGCTATTGACAATTTAGGATCTCCAATGGCATTCTAAAATTTGATTCAAAACCAAGTCTTTACATGGCTTAACCATGAGTTACAATGCAAAAGAACCTCCATAACAATACATTCCAGGTTCTCAACATTACCAATGTCAGCTCTTTGAAGTCTATCTGTAATTAACAGCAACAATAAAAATCCCAGAAATAAATTCATTTTCTGAAAATAGCTAATCATCTGGRATTTTGATCAGCATGACACCAGATAGATGTTTGAGTTTTAAAATAGAATTGGTTAATTTTTTAAATAATCTAGAATTCTAGATATAATCATTAAACATTTAAAATTGGAGTAATTGGGCAGGGGTTATGTAACTCAGTGGTAGAGTGCATTCTTAGTTTGTGCTAGGTCATGGGTTCAATTTGCACAGCCTAAAAGCAAACAAATAAAACAAAAAACCAAAAGCACACACAAAAAAATTGGATTCATTTAAAATAAGATGATTTCCTCTGAACCTTATCTTCCATGGTAAAGACTCGGGAACTGTCAATGGTCAACCCTTTGTTACTTTTATGCTTATAAGAGAAATATAGTATCTTTAACATCAGAGTTAAAACAACTTATATTTGTAAATTTATGATTAAATTTTTTCCTCCTCTAGGAAATTGATGTACTATCTTGATCATTACAAAATGCATCTTTTTATTCACAAATTCAACCAGCCTCAAAACATTCTTAGGAAAAAAATTGTGGCAGAATTTGCAGCTTAGAGAAAAGCAGGACTCTACTGAAAACCATAACCTGAAAAAATGAGGAATTACAAAAAATATTCTTGGCCAAGAATTCCGATGTTATGGGCTCTGGCCTTTCTGTGTACCCATTTCCTTTCGGAAGTTCTTGAGTATGATTGTAACAGGAGTGTTTTGTTCTTTTCCCCTGTGGTTGTGAAAACCCCACCAGGTTGGTGGATACTGGGATAAGTCGTGTAGCACAGTCACTCAGCTGAAGGAAGGTCTCAACCGGATCCTTTGCCTGATCCCCTACAATGTGATCAACCAATCAGTGTGGGAGTGTATTATGCCAGAATGGCTGGAAGCCATCAGAACAGAAGTCCCAGATAATCAGTTAAAGGAATTCAGGGAAGTATTAAGGTGGGTAAGTAGTTTAATGAAGTCACTGCAATTATATTGATATCTAACATTTATCGAGCATGTACTGTGTGCTAGGTACTCTACTAAGTATTTTGTGTAATCTCCCTTTTTAACAATTCTATGAGAATTGGGAAGCCCCAAATAAAATAGCTACTATTAATTGAATCAAAATGATTTGAAAAGATCTTGTTCTTGAGGAATAATAAATATACATCATATTGTTTGCTTATTTTCAAATATGATTTGAAATTGGCTGTGTTGGAAAAGTACAAAGATAAAATATTTTTAGAGGCTAGGATGCAGCTCTAATTCCTTAGAAATGTAATTCCTTCTGTTAAACCTAATATGCATATGGGCATTAATGTGATTCCATGTGAATTATTTACATGTATTTCTATGATGTAAACAATTCTCTTACAGTGAAACAAGTTATACTAATAATAGGTCAGAACACAAACTCATCTAAAAGGTTTGGCTCTCCAAATAGGGTATAGTGAGAAATACTTTGGTGATATCAGTTTACCCTAATGTGTGCCCATTGGTCATTTACTTTTGTTGCTCTGCTTTTCAGCAAAATGTTTGACATTGAGCTCTGTCCTCTGCCTTTTTCATTGGAAGAGATGTTTGGATTTATTAGCTGTCGGTTTACAGGCTACCCCTCCTCTGTGCAGGAACAAGCTTTATTATGGCTTCATGTAAGTGAATGATACTTATGATTGTTTGGGGTAATAGTTCTTATCCTAGAAGCTAAGTTCTTAGCCTTGTTAGAGGGGTGGGAGGTTTTGCAGGGTCATATGTTCATGTGTTCATTGAGGATTATTATAGACTAATATCTCCTAGTCATAAATAAATGATTAAATTTCAAATATATGTAGCTCTAGTTATGGTTAACAAATATAAATTTATGCAATAGTGTTACTGAATTCATAGAGATTTTTGGTCCTTATATATTACTTGCTGTCTGAGATTCTGAAAAACTTTTAGTATTAAACAGGTCCTTTATTTGGAAGGGTGAGGACTACTGATTAAGGGAGGGAGTGGCTCGTCTGCTTCCTCAACTGGGAATGACTCTCTTTTCTGCCTCTCCTGGGAGCTCCAACCTCTCCTGTAAAGCCCAGCTCGGAGGGGTCTCCTCTGACGTTTCCCGCCGCTCTACACCCCCATTTGTCCATCGAGCACTTTTCTTTCCCCCCAGTATCCAGACAGCTTCTCTGTGTGAAATCTGTTCTTTTCTTAGAGTTAGTTTTTGTTTCTTCTCCTGCTTACACACTCCTTGGGTTCAGGGACTAGGTTTTATTTTTTTGAATTTACAACTCTCTTCATCCTTTCCTCTCGAGCTTTGTATTTAATGAATGTTTAATAAAAATTTATTAAATCGAGTTGAATATCTGATGTAAAGTTTTGGGCAGTTTCAGAAAATAAGGACAAATTTATTGTTTAGAGTAACTATGGTTATAGTTACTTTTTTACAATTTTCTTTTGCTGTGCTGGGGATTGAGTCCAGGGCCTCTTGCATTCCAACATATTCTGTCCCACGTCTCTAGCCTCAGATGCATTTCTGTGTCACACAAAGACGAACTCTTATACACCTTTCTCCTATGTGCCTTTCAAGTTGCAAAAAAGGCCTTTCTGGATTCTAAACTAAGGAACAATATTTTTTACAATTAACAAAGAGTAAAGGGAGCATTTGAAAAAAAAAAAGTCACCTTGGGATTCAGAATTTTAACTTATTTTATCTCCACATAGATTTCAGTAAGATAACTTTTATTTTAGGAAAGCCAGTCTTTCCTATACATGGCTAAATGTTGCCTCAGTATTCTGTGACACACCTCTTAAGCTGCAAACCTCTGTCCCCACCAGAGTTAGATAAGATACAGTCCACAGGTTCTATGGACTTGGCTCTAATATGGCCTTACTGTGAAGGCAGTGTGCTGTAGTTGAAGGTTTCAAACTCCTGGTCTCACCTTTTGGGGAGGGGACTGAACAATACAGTGGTTGGAATTGAATCATATATGCATTAATTGGAAAGTTTTTCAGAGCTCTTGCGTGCCAGGCACTGTAAGGTGGCTCTTCCCCCATACTTCCTTTCTGTAAGCAGATCATGGTATGAGGGATAGTAAYAGATAATTAAATGCAGCAAAAAGTGGTAATTACTATAATAAACATATATATAAAGCTCTAAGAAGCAGAGACTAGGGTTGTTTCTTTTCTGTCAAAGGAAGCAGGTATAGATTTCCAGGAAATTCTTTTCAAATAAGATGACTTGATTTTGGCCCAGAAAGACATAAGCTTGTACCAGACAGCAAGATTGGATGGGGTTATCAGGTGAGAGTGCAGAGGAACTCAAGGAAGATACGACCAGATTCTGTTGTCCAGGAGAAAGATGTGAGCGAAAGCAATAGCACTGGGTATAAGGAGGAGGGATAACATCAAGAGAAACTTGATGATTTCTGTGGAAAGAACATGGCGACTTATTGGATATCAGGGTAAGGMAAACTCAATTTAAAGACACCCTCGATTTTCTTGGTGCAAAAATTTGAGGATGACTGTAGAATATGAGTAAGGTTGAATGTCCTCATGCTTAATAGTTTGATTTAGGGAAAAAATTATCAAATGTAGCTTTCTGAGTTTTAAATTTGACATGTTTGGGGGGAATATGTCCTTTTTTCTCCAGGTATTATCGGAGTTAGATATCATGGTTCCACTTCAACTCTTAATAAGCATGTTTTCTGATGGAGTTAATTCTGTCAAAGAACTGGCAAATCAAAGAAAATCAAGAGTCAGTGAACTGGCAGGGAACCTTGCAGCTCGAAGGGTAATTATTACCTGATTGTTCTTGTCTGTCTTAAGATTTAAAAAATCCTTGTCAGTTTTATCAAGCTTGAAAGTAGCATCATAAGAAATCTCTCTGAAGATACTTTTTAAAATCACATCTCATTTCAGTAATTTTAAAAGTACATTAAATAAAAAATATTTATCCGAGATAGTTTTGGTATAGTCTATAATTAATAAGTTATTGAGTTTTTAATTTTTCTTTGGGAAAAATTAATTTTAGCTCTCTCTCACTACTGATAAAAGGAAAAGACAAAACAAACAAACAAAAAAAAACTTAGCTTTTTTGATGCCCCCTCTACCCCACCTCTCCTGATAAATGAGAGTTCATTCCAGCTACTGGGCAAATCAGTGCTTCACACACATTGTGAGGAGTTTGGATGGTTTTTTGTCTTTTGCTTTTTGTCATTGTGTTTTGGGAAAACGAAATCAATTGGTGGTGACTATAGATAGTGCTGTCAGTATGAACTAACTGAGCTCGTTTTATTGACCTCTTTACATCTCTGTGGATGAGAAAAGTGTTCAAAAACTGTTAGAAAGTTTTGATACTGTTTCTGTGGGGAATCTGTTGTGGTTTCTGCTGGCCATGTGCAGTTTCTGAGAGGCTGACTCTCCCTGGAGGGTGGGCAAGGACTTCCCAACCCTCCTGTCAGACCTCTCCATGGAACCCACCTTGTTTAGTCAGCTTTTTGCTGCTGTGACCAAAAGACCTGACAAGAACAATTTTAAGAGGAGGAAAAGTTTACTTTGGGGCTCATGGTTTCAGAGGTCTCAGATCATAACCTCCGACTCCATTCCTCTGGGCTGGAGGTGAGGAAAACACCATGGTAGAAGGGTGGTGAGAAGGAAAGTGGCTCAGGACTGGAAGCCAGGCATCAAAAAACCATTCTGCTCTCCAGAGACAAATATATACCCCAAAGGCATGTCCCTAATGGCCCCCCTCCAGCTATCCTGTCTGCCTACAGTTATCCCCCAGTTAATCCCTATCAGGATCAATGCACTGACTCTAGGTTAAGGCTCTCGTAACCAATCATTTCACCTCTAACATTTTTTGCATTGTCTCACACATGAGCTTTTGGGAGACATCTCATATCTAAACCATAACACTGTCCCCATGCCACCTGATGTCTAGGGAATAAGAAACCTAACATGATGATAGGATCATGGTTTGTATTCATTACTCAAAAATAAATCACTTCTTTTTCATCGGCCTGTTAGGAACAAGCTGCCAACAACCTAATTTTATTTCTCTCTTCTATAACCTTTAAAATGCTATTACTTTTTGTGGTACTTTATTCTGTGCAAAGTATTCACAATGAACAATATCACAGAATTGTGTGAAGCAGTCAGGGAAGAACTCATTATCCTCACTTTACAGCTACTTAACTTGATACTTGGTAAGTGAAGTGATTCATAAATAACACTGTAAATATCCAGGTATTCCAATTCTTAATGGGGTGCTCTTCCTCTTTGCCTTAAAAATAGTGGCTGTGGAGCTTTYGGGTTCCTAGAAAGATCTTTATGAGAGAAAATAGGATTTGAAAATAAAAGTGATGCACAGTTATGGCAGTCTGGGCTCTGATACAGAATTTATTCCAGATGGTTAAAATGAAGAGACTTTAATGGAAATTCTGCCTGTAGAGTTATGGAAAAGGTTATAGCAGCAATAAGAGTTGATGAAGCACCCAGAATCTAGTGACAGTCTGGTAGGAAGCCTCTATTCCCCTAGGGCTGAAAGAACAAGGAAGAAAGTTCCTGGCGCCAACTGAGAGCCGACACTAGAAGGAAGGGCTACTGGAGAAGCTTCGGAGTGATGCGACACTTCCCAGGTGCAGCTCCAAAGCCAGGAAGTGGGTGGGGAGAAACACTCCTGCCTCCTGCCCTGCCAGCTGCAGGTGCTCTCTGGTGCCTTCATCCACTGAACCCACCTGGAGGCCAAGCAGCAAAGGAGCAGGGTATACTTAGTGCACAACACCCATGGCATGAAGGTGGGCAGAGAAGGGCAGTGAGGGCTGGAGGTGAGGCTTGGGGGATATATAAGCAGAGTGGTAGGTTTGGCATTTATTATTTTCTCATGATAGTTAATCATTATACTCTCCAGAGGCCGTTCTTCTTTAGTCATATTAATCTGAGATTCTGTGCTTATTTTTCTAAAAATTATCTTGCATTATTTTACTTTTTGTAATTCCTCATTTTTTCAGGTTATGGTTTTTAAACTAGATTCAGACAATCTAGTTTAATTGGAACTGTTTTATGGGATGAAGAATATGACAAATGCCTTCATTTTCCAGTGTTGATGTTTCATTCTTTGACAATTAGTCTGAAAACTTGGATGGTTCTGTCATYTTAATGTGTTGAGAGGATTAGTTGTATTTGGAGGTACTAATGTCATTGGGTGATGTCAAAAGAAATCTGTGTGACAGCTGGAAATGCCTTCTGTAGAGTCCCTAATTATTTTATGCAGCCATTTGAGCTTCTGTGAATTCATTCATGTGTGTTGACATTCTTTCTCATAGGTGAGTGTTGCCTCTGATCCTGGACGACGAGTTCAGCACAGTATGCTGAGTCCGTTTCATAGTCCTTTCCAGAGTCCATTTCGGAGTCCCATGCGTAGTCCATTCCGTAGCCCTTTCAAGAATTTTGGACACCCAGGAGGAAGGACTATTGACTTTGATTGTGAAGATGATGAAATGAATCTAAACTGTTTCATCCTCATGTTTGATCTTCTCCTGAAACAGGTAGCTGAAGCATGAACTTCCCTTAGTTCAAAGGTGAAGAAGGAGGAAAAACATTGTATAGTGATTCTTTCCATGTGTTGGGCATCTTCACACTTACTGAAGTGATTTGAAAATAAAAGTGATACACACTGGCATCACTCAGGTCATTTTACATATTGCTTTGGAAATTTCCTAAAGAGCCTGAAAACTACTTGTGCAGATATCTGCAATGACATGTGAGAATGGATTTGAATTTTAGAAGATTATGGCTTCATTAGAATTGATTCTGTTGAATAAATTGGATGAACAAACTGGACAAAACTATTTTTGTGAAACAGTGAGGTACAACTCCATAGTGATGGGACTAATTTTAATATATCTTATGGGTTGATTTTCMAAGATAATTTTTAAAAGATAAATTAAAAAGACTTTGATCAGAAGAATATTTCTTCCTAATTTTTTATTCTTAAATAATTTTAGATTTGCTGACAAGTTGCAAGGATAGTATAAAGAACTCCTGAGCACTCCTGTCTCAAATTCTTCAGATGTTAATATTTAGCACATGTACTTCTTTCTCTCTTTCTCTGTATGCGTATAAATGAATTTTCTTAAGGAGTCATGTGAGAGTAAGTTGAAAACATGGTATCTTTATCCCAAGTACTCCAGAGTGGTTTCTAAAAAATAAGGATATTATCTAACATAATCACAGTACAGTTATCAAATCAGGAAATATTTTATCTATCTTACAGAAATTACTCATTTAAAATTGATATAATAACAGTATCATTTTTATATCATAAGGAAAAAACTCTGTTTTTTATCTAGGAACAATCTAGGGTCAATCACGGCAACAACTGGTGCTGGTTTCTTGGTTTTCTTTAATCCATGACAGTCCCTCAGTTTTTGTTTATTGTGCATGTCTTTGACAGTTTTCAAGAATATAGTTTGGTTGTTTTGTTGAATGTGTTTCACTTTGAGTTTGTCTGACATTTCCTTATGACTTAATTTGGCTCATACATTTTTGGCAGGAAGAACCAAAGATGTGATGTTCTGTCCTTTGTAGTGCTTCATGTCAGGAGGCACAGATATAATACTGACCCCTTACTAGTGATAACTTTGATCACTTGGTTTACAACATGATTTCTGCCAATTTTCTTTATTGAGTCATTACAAATCAGCCCTGTGTATGTAGGAGTTCCGTATCAGCAGATGTAACCAACCAAGTATTAAAAAAAAAATGGAAAACAGTGCATTTATAGTAAACATGTACAGACTTATTTTCTTGTTATTATTCTCTAAATATAGTGTAACAACTATTTATATAACATTTACATCATGTTAGGTATTGTAAGTAATCTAGAGATGGTTTGACATAAATGAGAGAATACATGTACATTACATGCAAATATTGTACCATTTTTATATAAAGGACTTGAGCAGCTATGGAAATTCATATATGTGGGCAGGTTCTGGAGCCAATCCCCTGTAGATACCAGGGATACCTGTATTTTCCCTTTTGTAAATAGCAAGTAACTTGTAGGGAAACACTTTCAGATGATGAGATTTCCTTTTTTTTTTTTTTAATGAGACTTTTTAGCACTGACATTCATTTCATGCCTGCATCAATTTTTACTATGATGGCTGCCAAATGATATTTTTTATTTTATTCGGTAACTTATGATCTTTAACTATGATTACTTATTTTGTTGCTCATATTGGCCAGTGGGAGTCTGTTAAAGCTGACTCTGTGTTCTCCTGACATGTTCATATCATTCTTTGAACATTTCCTTAATTTCTGGCATGACAAGATATTCCAGGTTCATCTTATATTTTCCTTGCCCCAGCCCTGGAATTGGCCATTTCTCCAAGGATCCCTGATTCCTATCCACTAAGTGGATAGCAGTAATTAGAAACCAAGATCTGGAAAGTAGATGAGRAATAGCATTTTTTTAAGTGTATAAAATATCACAAAGTGATGCATTTTAAAACAACTCTGTTAAATGTTATGTGATTTTAAAAATAATTCTCATTATTTTGTCTTGTGTTTATATTTTTTCTAGAAGACTCTTTGGAAACCAATATTGATCTATGATATTGAACCTATATTGTCATTAAATAATTTAATGTTGGTGTCAGTAGTGAAAATTATCTCCATCTAGTATGTCAATGAAATGTTGGATAAAAATACCAAATTCCTTCTTTTTTTTCTTCTTCTTCTTTTTTCTTTTTTCTTTTTTTTTTTTTTTTGGTCCTTTTCCCAATGTCTTTCAGATGGAGTTACAAGATGATGGAATCACAATGGGTTTAGAGCACAGCTTGTCAAAGGACATTATTTCTATTATAAACAATGTCTTCCAGGCCCCCTGGGGGGGCTCCCACTCCTGCCAGAAGGAGGAAAAAGCAATCGAGTGCAACTTATGTCAGTCTAGCATCCTCTGTTATCAGCTTGCTTGTGAACTCCTAGAAAGACTGGCTCCCAAAGAAGAGAGCAGGCTGGTGGTAAGCAGTGGAAGAAGCGAGATGACTTGTGTACAGTAGTAATGAAGATGGCGGCAGTGGTGTGATGGGGTCTTCCTCCAGGGTTATCTTATGGTCTGTGCTGGGTTATATGTGAGACTGTACCAAAAGAAAGTTTTCCTATTACTTCCACTAACACAAGTTCCTGGAAAAAGACTGGAGATGCAGCCACATTATATGGAATTCTATTAGGTGGCTTGAGTTAGGGTTGTAGAATTCCATTCATGCAGTTTCCATAAACATAAAGCATTACTGGTATTTTAAAAGAACTTGTATCATAAAGAATTAAGATTTTTTTTAGTTGCAAATGACAGTATATTTTGACATATTATACAAACMTGGAGTCCATCTTATTCTAATTAGGATTCCAGTGTTGTGGTTGTACATGGTGTGGGGTGTGGAGATTTACTCTGGTGTATTCATATGCATACATAGGAAAGTTATATTAGATTCATTCCACTGTCTTTCCTATTCCTGTCTCCACTCCCTTCCCTTCATACCCCTTTGTTTAATCTACTGAATTTCTGTTCTTTCCCTCCCCACTGGTGTTGTGTGTTAGCATCCTTATATCAGTGAGGACATTTGGGTTTTGGGATTGGCTTATTTCGCTTGGCATAATAGTCTCCAGATCCATCCATTTACTAGCAAATGTCATAAAGTCATTCTTATTTATGGCTGAGTAATATTCCATTGTGTATACATTCTACAATTTCTTTATCCATTTATTTGTTGAAGTTTGGTTCCATAGCTTAGCTATTGTGAACTGAACTGTAATAAGCATTGATGTGGATGTGTCACTGTAGTATGATGATTTTAAGTCCTTTGGGTGTTAACTGAGGAGTGGGATAGCTGGGTCAAATGGTGGTTCCATTCCAAGTTTTTGAGAAATATCCATACTGCTTTCCAGAGTGGCTGCACCAATTTGCAGTTCCATGAGCMATGTATGAGTGTATTCTTTCCCAGACAGCCTTGCCACCATTTATTGTTACTTGTATTCTMGATATTTGCCATTCTGATTGGCGTGAGATGAGATCTAAGTCTAGTTTTAATTTGCATTTCTCTAACTGCTAGAGATGTTGAACATTTTTTAATATATTTATTGGCCATTCATATTTCTTTTTCTGTGAAGTGCCTGTCAGTTCCTTTGTCCATTTATTGATTGGATTATTTGTTTTTGTGGTGTGGATTTTTGAGTTCTTTATGTCTAGATATGACCTATGGTTTTTCTCTAGTAGCCTTTAAAATTCTGTCTTATTCTCTATGTTAGACACTTTCATAATAATGTGCCTTGATGTGGGTCTATTGCAGTTTTATATATTTGAAGTCATATAAGCCAACTGTATTTGATTTCTCATTTCATTCTTAAGGTTTGGGACGTTTTCTGATGATATTTCATTTAAAAGAYTGTGCATTCCTTTAGTTTGTATTTTCAGAGCCTTCATCTATCCCAATGAATCTTAAATTTGGCCTTTTCATGTTATCCCATATTTCTTAATGGTCTCTTAACATCTTTTTTCCATGGTAAACTGTATTTTCAAGATTATATATTTTGTTTTCATTGCCTAAAACTCTATCCTCCAAGTGGTCTAGTCTGTTGGTGATGCTTTCCACTGAATTTTTAATTTGGTTTATTGATTTCTTCAGCTTGAGGATTTCCATTTGGTTCTTTTTTAGAAACTATCACTTTATTGAAGTGATTTTTCACTTTATTTTCTTTCCAGTTTCACTCCTTACATCATCTTTTACTTTATAAATCAGTTTAACTATGAACTTTTAAAATTCCTCCTCTGACATTTTCTCCACTGTGATGTCAATGGATTCTGTTATTGAGGTATTTTTATTTGTTTGGGATGGTTTGTTCCCTTGCTTTTTCATATTGTTTGTGTGTCTACCCATTTATTAGTATCAATCTGAGGTGGCAGAGTTTCTACCCTGTGAATTTATARTATCCATGAATATTTCTGGTACCTAATGGTTTAGGAGAAGACAAAATAATAACAACAACAAATGAAAACAGTATACAGCATTGAACTAAATACTTAGTTTCTATTATGACATCTACAATGTTAATTGGCTCAATTAACACAAATGGTATGATGAGCAATTGCTGGGCATGGTGGTGCATGTCTATAATCCCCAAAACTCTGGAGGCTGAGGAAGGGAGATTGCAMGTTCAAAGCCAGTCTCAGCAATTTAGCGAGGCCCTAAGCAACTTAGTGAGATCCTAWCTCAAAATACAAAATAAAAAGGGCGGGGACACCAGGCATGGTGGTGCACACCTGTAATCTGAGCAATTTGGGAGGCTGAGGTAGGAGGATCTAGAGTTCAAAGCCAGTCTCATCAACTTATCAAGGCCCTAAGCAACTCAGGGAGACTCTGTCTCTAAAAATATATATAAAAAGGGATAGGGATGTGGTCAGTGGTTAAGTGCCCCTGAGTTCAATTCCTGGTACAAAAATAAATAAATAAATAAATAAATAAATAAAAGGCTGGGGACATGGCTCAGTAGTTACATGTCCCTGGGATCAATATCCAGTATTAAGAAAATCATGGTTTAGATGCTCATCAACAGATGAAGACTCTTAGAACATATAGTGTCTACTGCATGTAGTAGCTACTTCCTAATTGGACAAGTGGAGATCAGGAGAGTGGGTGAGGACAAGAAGAATGGGCTGGTAGGAGGCTTTGGCTAGTTTGCAAGACAGGTCACATCTGGTCTCTGCCACCTTGGTGGATAGTACTGGAAATGTGGGTTCCCAGGTGCATGCAGGAGTCAGTATATMGCAGGCAACTCTCCATTGGGCCAAACTGTGTGAAACTCAGTTTATGATTTGCTGTGGTGTTTTCTTTCTGTTTGTTTCAGGAACAGGGCCAGCCTCAATAAAACTGTGAAGTTGGCAAAGGTGTTTGTTCAGAGCCCTATCAGTTACTGTTTTAGCACTTATTTTTTCTTTTCATGATCTTCTTTGTCCCGCCAATCTTTATCTCCTATTTGATTGTCAAATAAATTTTGAAAAAATGTTTAGTGGTCAATGTGATAGTTATGAGGATAATTTTATAAGAAGATATTTGAAGATGAGTCATGAAAGAAAAAAAGTAGAAGAGTTACCCGAGGTTAGATATTTTAAATGGCAGCCATACCTTAAAAGGGCAGCCCTCTCTTAAAAAAAAAAAAAAAAAAAAAACCTCAGAAAAATTAAATATTTTCTTTTCCTTCTATTTTTTGCAGCCTGTTTTATTTGCGTGTACACACACATATGCATATACATGACGTGTTATGTATAAATACAGAACTTTAAGTATATTTGCATTGTTATACAACCCATCTCCAGGACTTTTTCCTATTGCAAAACTGAAACTCTAAAACTATTAAATGACAATTACTCCTGTCTCTTTTCCCACAGCCCCTGGGAGCCACCATTCTTCTGTTTCTACATTATGCAATGTAAACTGTATAAGTGAAACTTGTGTAGTATGCCTGAGCAGAATGTCCTCTAGTTTCCTCCATGTTGTAGCAGGTGTCAGAATCTCCTTCTTTTTTAAGGCTGAGAAATATTCCATTGCATGGACAGACCACATTTTGTTGATTCATCTGTTAATGGACACTTTGGTTGTCCTACCTTGTTCCCTTTTTCTCTCATGTTATGGTAACTTCTTGCTTCTAATATTTTAACTTGACTGGACAATTAGCATTTGTATTTGAACATATCTCTGAAAACCTCTTATTTTCCCCTCCTAAATAAATTCTGAACAAAATGTTCATGGGTGGGAGTCCTTGGGTGGGTGGGATACTTACCAATCTAGGGGATTAAAGCAGAAGTGGAGAGTAGCCTAGGAAGATGTGAGAGTCGCCTAGATGATGTGTTTATTATTTTTTTCTTTTTTATTCAAGTGAAAGCAAATGCTTCAATAACAGTTGGTACAGATCTTTCACTGTTATGGAAGCAAACTCAGGCTTCCTGGAGGTGTGCTGCCTTGCCCTCCTAGCTCAGAGGGTTGAACAGATCAGGCCATGATCCATTTTTATTGACTTAAGCCAAACCTTCTGTGCAGCCCAACGGTTTGCTGTGTTTGTTTCAGGAGCCCACAGACAGCCTGGAGGACAGCCTCCTTTCTTCCAGACCAGAGTTCATTATAGGCCCTGAAGGAGAGGAGGAGGACCCAGCAGCCAAGCATGGGGAGAACCCAGGCAGTCACACCACGCCCACGGAACATGCTGGTAGGTGAACTTGGCTGATGGGGAGGGCACAGTATGCACCTTCCAGTTTGCCCAATGCTCAGATCCTTGGTTTCTTAGGTTGATATCGACTAGGGCAAGTTCAGATGCACCTTTCTTAATGCTGACTTATGCAGATGAACCATTTCCTACCAGATTATGAGGTGGAAGATCCATTATAGCTTCAGTGGAACACAATCTGATCATCTTTCTGGAAACAGATCTTGTTACCCATGAAAAACTTATGTTAGTGTAGAAAACTAACACAATTCTGACAAAATGAGTTGTGTTCATTGTGTGCAGAAGTAACTATAAGCAGACGCTGATTGGCTGAGGTGGAGGGTGCTGGCAAGTTCAACAGCTACTCAGGGCGCGTGGCCAGAGCAAAGTATTTTCTTTTTTTTTTTTTTT